CTGCAGAACCATCACCAGATTGTTGCAATCATTTGAATCTCTTTTCATATTCTGGTGCAATTTTATAATTTTCCTTGAGCATTTTACCACTAAATATTTATCCAAAAAGTAACAAAGTCCGATCAGGTGTGAAGAACTTTGACATCCTGATCAACAAACAAATGCAAATCACAGGTGAATGGCTGAATCCTGTTTAGCTGCTTCTTAAATAAACCTTACCGTGACTGACATGTTAAGGTTATTTGGAAAAGCTGAACTTTTTAATATGTCAGCTCTTAAACACCCTTCATTCCTTCTTTATGGCTAGTATCCAGCAGCTTACTCTTACAAATAAAATGAGGCAGTATAAATATAAACTTTAATACTTGAACAAAATGACTGGGACAAACTGGAAATTGGAAAAAATAAATAAAATCCAAATACTAACCAGCAATATGAGGCTTCTGTGGGGAAAAAACCTGAATGCACAAATACTAATCAGCCACTGGACTATTTAGTGTTAACATGTTTTAATATAGAAGTAAGCAATCAACAAAGAGTGGCACGGTGGAGCAGTTGGTAGAGCTGTTGCCTCTCAGAGAGAAGGTCGCCGGTTCAAATCCTGGCCCAGGACCTTACTGGGTGGAGTTTGCATGTTCTCTCCTTACATGCGTGGGTTTTCTGTTTTCTCCGGTTTCCTCCCACATATCAAAATCATGCAAGTTAGACTGATTGGTAACTCTAAATTGTCCTTAGGTGTGAGTGAGTGAGTCGTTTGTCCATAGTGATGGGCCTGCGACCTGTCCAGGGCGTCCCCTGCCTTGCACAGTGATAGCTGGACATGGGCACCTGTGAACCCCACAACCAAAAAAGGAAGAAGCAGGTAAAGCTAATGGATGGGTGGATGATCAGCAAAGACATACTTTTTGAAATGTGTTGAGAGAAAAAAAAAATGGCTGAAAGAGTTTGAACAAATAATCCAATTTCTAAATTTGAGCATGTGACATCTTGTCATAGCTCTATTTTAACTATATAAAACAAGGTATGTCATTTTAAAATTATTCTATTTAGTTTTTTGTTGTTATTTTTGAATAAATACCAACCTAAACTCATTACTCTTCAGCATACCAACGTGGATGTATTTAAAAAATGACAATACTACCATTTATAGTTCTTCTATCATTGATTCATTTGAGATTTGCACGCTATTGTGCAAAAATAGTGACTAAAAACGAGTAAGAGTTCCAGTGATGTGGAAACACTAATCTCAAAGAGTCATACACAGTTCATGACGCACACTATTCAAAGCACAAACATCGGAATCGTTTGTTAAACTTTACAGCTTAAAGTGGAAAGAGTTGTGATTTTATTCAGAACATTTGCAACTTACTGCGCAAAACATTTAATACACTTGTGAAGTATTTATGCTTTATCCTAACAAGCCAGACTTTCTTGGCATCTTTTAAAAATGTCTTGCTCAGAAGTAAAGTTTGATTTTTCACAAATTTTCTGTGTGGTACTTGATTCTGACCCCGACTGTGAATTGTGCAGTGTATTTTCACAAAGAAAGAAAGTGAACAAGAAGAGGACAGAAAAAAACATTTCAGGACTAAAAAATATCTACAGCAGATGAAGAACACTGGAAAAGCCATCTTTTTTTAAGGAAACACAAAAAGTAAAGGTCAAAGACCTGAAACAGGAGCTGAGAAACTAGACGATCATCAACCGTTTGTCAAGTTTTCAACTAAAAGATATAGTTTGTGTCAAAATGTTGTTTTTAATGTTTTTCATAGAGTCAACCAAAGAAATTGGAACAGTTCTTGTCTTTGTGACAGGTTAAAAAGGTGCTTAAAGACACGGTACTGCATTGTTTCATTTGTTTGTGTGGTGTTGGATAGAAAAGAAAAACCTATGTCTCGATACATCGTCAATTTTAAAGCAAATATTTCAAAACTAATACAGAATTTCATCTTTTTGTTCAGGTTTGCCTAATTCGACAGCTCACCTTGTGATATTCTGGGAAGAGAAGAGGCTGGAGCTGGAGCCTGCAGGTCTGTGGGGGGTACAGCCTGGACTAGATGCTTCCACTACAGACGTCCATGCACAAGGTTGGTCCACTGAGCTGACACAAATCATATCCAGCTCATAAAACGTTTCCTGTTTGGACTGTTTTTTTATTGTCTGTTAGAATTAGTTTCATTCATCTTGGGCAAAACAGTCAAGCTTCCACTTCCTGCTCTTATATCCTTCCACACATCGCCTCAAATCTAATGGGGCAGGTTCAGCATGTCTGTTTCCTTCCTTCGCTTAGTTCACCTGATTCCTGTCAAAACTTTGCAAGCTTTTAGACACAAGTAAGAGCTGTCTTCAGCCACAGATGGAAGATGGAAATAATATCGTCTGAGCAACGTGCTGCTAAGATCAGTCCTGCAGAGAGTGCCAACAGTCTAATATTAGCAGAGCACATGTCTGTCTTTACAATCAGTCACTAAAATGGCTAAACTTAGTTCACTTTGTCCCAAGCCTCTTTCCAAGTTCTTTAGCTGGGTACCAGCAGGGTGACTGGGGAGCAGCTGGACAGGCTTCTGAAACTGTCTCCGCGAGGAATTTAAAGTAAAAGAAGAAAATAACTCGAACCCTAAAAGGAAATTCTGAGTGCTATCGCAAGGTGGGGAAACAGAACAAAATGTTCTCATGTAGATGCTTCATAATTATTCATGAAGTCTGAAGGGTTTTCTTTGGGAAATCTGAGGGATGTGGGGTAAACAAGAAGTGTGCTGGATGAGCTATGCTGCCCTCGTCTGGTTCAACAGCATGGAAAAACATCCAAAACATACACCCAATTACTGCCCTGCCCTGTTGTGCCAAACAGATTTCCTTTTCCTCTGTAAAGTTCCTGTCAAGTCCAGTTTTGTTTTGGTCTCATGGGCCACAATCTTTGACCCCCACCACCACCCCCTGACATGCCTCTTTCACTCTTCCTGTGTTCCATATCAGTAAAGAGAGAGCTAAGCTCCGGCGTCTAAACATAGAGCCCTCACCTTCAGAGTAACGGGTCAGACAGATGTACAGATCTGATCCCTCGGTCCACAGCCAAGAGGGCAGCTTCTGGTTAGAAATCACCCGGGGCTGTCAGGGATTTACAAGAATGAAGGTTTTGGACCTTCACATGATCAACAGTAAACGTCTCAGATCAGATAGGCCCCTTAAAGAACCAAACAGCTTTTCTATTAATTCAAATAAATGTATGAAAGCTTTGCAGTTGATTTCAGCTGAAATTTAAAATTAGACTAACTGCACTGAATGCATATTGCCTGTCAACTTGCATGCCAACATTTTAAACAACATTTATTTGATGGGTCAGTACTCAGAGCATGTGATTGAGATGCTTGTCAGCTACTGTCACGCCAAATCTTAATTCAATCTCTGAACAATTAATCGAGTTTCAGCCATTTTTGTGTTACACATAACTGGTTGGAGCAGCCCAAATAAATTGGGTTATCTCTAAAAATGATCAATTTTAGATGTACATCCTGTGATCAGGTTCTGAGAGTTTCATTCAAATTCATCCAGTGGGTCATGAGATATTTTGCTAGCGGACAAAAAGGGTCGACTCCAACTGTTAATGCCAAAGTTTGAAACCAAGCTCTTGTCTTATTAGTGCTCCGTTTGTGTTGGGGGTGTCTATCAGCTACTACCACACCAAACTGTAGCTCAGTATTGGTGGCAATGACAAGAGTTTTAGTCATGTTAGTGTTTGCTAAAGTCAATTAGCTGCGGTGGCCATCTTTAATTGAATTTAGCTGTGAATGGACATTCATATGGTGATTCATGAGATATTTCATGAGGAACAGACAAACAAATGAACAAAAACACACACAGGCAGCTACTCTGGGGATCTTTAATATCTCCCTAAAAGATTTGTGGACAAATCGAAGTTAAAATAAAATAAGTTTTGTCTGTCACCAGCTAACTGGTTGATCCACTATGAGAAGGTACTGCTTAGCACTGATAGAACTGAGCTCCTCAGACTGAAGAAGTCTTCTGGACTAAAGACGAAACATTTCAATAGAGTTTAATCCGTCCAGAGGACCTGACTTAACCTTGTTAAGTTTAAATAAAACATTCAGAGGCCATGTGAGCAGCAGCTGCAGCCAGGAAAGAGCATCGTTGTTAAAGCTGTTATTTGTGAGCTGTGTGAATATTTCACAGTCCGACACCTCATAAACACTGCTCATGTCCCTGAGCTTCTCTGTTCGGTCCGCAGGGGACAGTCTGCTCCTCGCACAGAGACCATAAGCTGCAGATACAAGCAGTCTGAGCTGGGCCTCTTCGCAGTTCAATTTAAGGGTTAATCTTTTTTTCTTTCTTTTTTTTTGCTATGTTGGAACTAGATCATCGCTCCTATAAACTCGTTAACGCATTATTCCTGACCAAAGGAGAAATGTAGGCCGAGGTAAAAGTAAGGCTCAAGGCTTCAAACAGCAAGCTGACCAAATCGATTCTGCAAATCACTTGTAACTTTACAGCATCTGTGTCTGCACAAGCTGTATGGATCCACACTGACTTGAGTTTTTCACTCCTTGCATTTCTAATCATATTTGAGGGCGTCTTCTCTGCTTTGGGAACCATTATAACTGCGGCCCTTTGGGTGAGAGCAAAAGCAGAATGGATTTATTATGCCAGCAAATCAGACAAAAACTATGTCTGTCAGTAAAGAATATGGGATCAGATCCCATAAAATAAGCTCTGGAGTCATTCGGGCAGGGGGGTCTTCAGCAGCAGCAGATTTGGAAGCCATAGCCTTAATGATTCAGTCACAACACTTTTTTTTTTTTGACAGCCAGAGAGGTTTTCTCTCACGCAACAGACGGGCAGATTCTGAGAGAGCCAGGAAGACGAGCGAGAGCAGAATAACTCAGCAAACTGAAAGCAGAGTGGCGAGGTTGGTTTGCTGTCTGTTTATTTCTCTTTAATCCTTAAATCTTCAGTAATCGGGATGAGAGGGAGAGAGCACGTTGCCTGTTTTAAGGACAACAGAATCTATGTTGGGACCTGACTGGTGAGGCCAGTACGAAAGAAAACATGAAGGGGAGGAAGGTGGGAAGTTCCAGCGTCAGACTGGGGAACTTAACGTGAACCTGTTTCTACTCACAAACAAGAAGAGCAGAGGGCAACGTGAGAGGATGATTTAACAACTGAGAGCAAAAATGAAGCAGAGGACTGAGCCATGGCTGGATTTTACAGGGTGAGATTCTGAATATCTCTCTTTGATTATTTGATGGAGTTTTTTTTTATTTCTCCTTTGACTCAAGTTTCTTAAACAAATCATCTTCGTGCAGCTGAGACGCCTCATATATTAGGATTCAGAGGGAAGAGGAGCCAGATTGGAAGGTGTTGCTCAGCAGGAAGTGTAGGCCAGAGAGTCAAAGTACAGACTTTCTGTGCAGAACGAGAGAGGAGAGGAAGGAAATATTTTCACGAGATTAAATCTACTTTTTTTTTTTTTTTTGCACAACACAACTTTGAAGTACAGGCAAACAGATCTTTATTTAACATTTAAGAAGTTACTTTTACTCTTCCAACACGTTAATTTGAAATATCACAATCTGCTAAATAAAATGTGTTGATTCTGTGGGGAAAGGTTATGAGGAAAGAAAAGTGTAAATGTTGTAGTTTTGCAGGAACGAGGCAAAACGATGAATCTGTCATAAGACGTGGTTCCACCCATTCAGCTTCCAGCTTCATGCAAACTGTGCCCATGTGCTTTCTCCCCTCAATATTGAGTTAGTTTTTCAAATGAAAGAAAACGGGGATATTTTAAACCTCTAAATAACACACAATCTTACATAATCCTTGTTTTGTGAACCTGTTAAAATAAAGTGATTAATAAAACAGACTTAACACAGTCCTCCACACTTTTTTGGACACTTTTAATCAGATTCTTCCCACAGGCTGAGCTTCCTCAGGTTCACAGCATCTCCTGACATCTCTTATTTATATTTTAGATGGTTATGTTGCAATAAACTTCTTTCATTCCAAACGTATCAAAACTGATAAAACCAAAGTGTGAACAAAACATAATTATGTTATAAAAGGATGTTACATGTGAAAATCAGACTTGCAGATCAGTCGCTCTGACGGGAGGTCTAAGGTGAGGTCAAGCTCCTCATCCTCTTTAACCATCATACCTTTAGGTCACCTGATCTGTTGAACACATGTGAGCCTTGTAGCATAAGATGTCTATTCTGAACACATGAAGACGTGTACATTTCTGAGGGCAAACCATGATGGCCAAACGCAGGTATTCACAACACATTTTGAATCAAACAAGTTGTGTTCTTTTGACAACAACGGAAAAGAACCAGCAAAATATCAGTTTTATATGAAAATAACTTTTTCTGTGCAATGAAAACAAACTTTCTAGTAACTTATGCATCTATATAATGACATTATGGTTAGATCAGTTTAGAAATTTGCCACTCCTCTTGGTTTTTTTTGACAGGGTCAGCAACCTAATGATGGTATAATTTGTCCAAACTTTACAGGTTTAGTGAAAGTTTGTGTCACGTACTTAGGTCAACGTCTTAAATATAATAGAAAAATGTTGCTGTTTTTCTTTAAGATGTGGTGCTGTGCAGCTATCCTGACGCCTCCAAGTGATCCCTGACTGCAAGAATCCCAATGGCGACTGCAAATGATGACCCAGACCTGGGCGCTGGCCCATCAGGGGACTCGGACGTCTTCCTGGATGATTCGGACTGTGAGAGTTTACTCTCTGACGACTCTGTATATCCCGATTATGAAAATGAGACAAGGTTCTCAAACCCAGCTGAGACGCTGTATGAGGCCTGTGTAAGGGACGACTCCGTAGCCCTGTGCAGCATCATGGAGCGAGGAGTCTCAAAAGAAGAGGCCATGGAGCTAGACATCAACGGAAGGGTCAGAAAAAAAAATCTTCTGTCTTTATCACACAATTAAATTTACATGCATTGCTTTAGATTACAATGAAAGGGTACAATAGTTTATATTTGTCTGGTTCCCCTTCAGAATGGACTGATGGTGGCTGTGACGAAGGGTTTTCTAGACATCGTCACGCTCCTGCACAAATGTCTGTTAATAGACATCAACCACCAGGACAATGATGGAAACACTGCCCTCATGATCGCTGCACAGGCTGGTATGTGAGAAAATACAACCAACATCAACATCTGAGCTTACATCGTACCCAGAATAATAATTCTTCTTTTAACACAGGCTTCATCATAATCCTTAACTACATCCTTAACTATTACCATGGTGTAGACACAGAGGTCCGGGACCCCCGTGGCTTCACGGCCCTCCTCAAGGCAGGCCTGCAGGGCCGAGAGGAGTGCGTGTCCGCCCTGCTGATGCACGGTGAGTTTAGGAATCTAAAGACAGTCATGACCTTCACCTGGACTAGTTGTACGTAGAAACACGTCCTCATTAATGATGAGATATACAGTATGCTTCACGATAAAGAGCAGGTAAACTAAAAACCTTTTATTCAACGTGACACACGAGACAAACCAGGACACCTGAGCTGTGAACTAAGCTGCACTTTCTCTGGGATTAGCTCAGCTGACACATTTGGAACAGAATCATAAAGCATCTCAATGCACACACTACTTAACATGTTTTAAATAGATTCAGAGTTAAATTAGCAAACATTATGTAAAAGTCTATTTGTGTAATTTATAGATGCTTTTAAATTCTTCATAACTCACTTTTTAAAGAGGTCATCATTTGTCTCCGTGTATTAATATGAACTAAGCTACTTTTATCTACACTCAAAAAGTAAGTAAGATGCTTTGATTGACTTGAAAAAAAATTAAAATAATGGCACATTTAATTAATGATTTAATAATTTAATTGTATATTTGATTATGCATTTAATAATTAAATTATACATTTAATTATTATGTATTTATTGATTTTAATTTCCACCTTCAGTGCCACTCGTTCTACCCAAATAAAGAGGTGATTTTAATGCTGAAATATTAGTTTTTGTTTAACCAAAATAGTGAATTCAAACAAGTCTGACCATACCTATTTTAAAAAGTCATTTACTTAAAAATAAATGTAGAAAAACAAAAAATGGCCCTTAAAATAATATATACACCAAGCCTGAAGAAATTAAATTATGACAAACAGTTGCTTCATTAAAAACAAATCCATCTGTACAAAATATTTGCCCTTTAGATGTTTTGTACTGTATGTTCATTCAACAAGGTTTTTTTTTTTTATGTATGTCTAAGATTTTTAACATTTGTTCCTGTTTCTCAGTGGTTTGTTATCTATACGTGGCCACATGGTGGTGGTGTTCTACTGAGCTGCTCTCATTGCATTTTGCCTTTCTCTTTCTTTTCCATGTGTAGGTGCAGATGTACATGCAGTGGACCTGGTTCAAGGCAGGGGTCTTAAAGACTGGGCCCTTAGGACGGGAAGGTTTGAGACTCTGTGCAGGATCCGACGTCTGCAGGCCCGCTCTGTTGCCAAGCAGTTCTGTGAAAGCTACAAACCTGAGTGGCCTGAGCTGAAGCAGCTGGTAGAAAAGACCTCCGCTCCAAAATCAGCCAGTCAGAAACTGAGGCAGCGCTTAAAAGAAACTCTTTCTTTCAGCTTCCCACACGACCCCCAAGACAACGGGGTAATGGACCATATGGTTCAAATAACTACTAGCATCTACAGCCCCCTGGTTGCTACTGGTTGCCGCCCACTGTGTCCCACAAGTCCCCCAGAGATTGGCAAGAGACGGTTTGCCATCCCAGAACTGCTGGAGAAGCACAGCAGCAAGGAGCTGGAGGAGACATCGGTGTCCCACAGCAACGGCTCCTTCACCTCAGCTTCTCCCACAGTCGTGACAACCACCTCGGTCTCTCTGGCCTCTTGCTGCCAGGCTCCAGAGCGCAGGGAAAGTTTGCCTTCGGGTGGCATCAGAAACTTCGTCCCTCGCAGCATGGCACACAGAAACAGCATATTCCCCTCAGGCTGCATTCCCAAGATCGAAGTAACAAAATCTGGGGACCCAACACCAAAGAAAGAGAAAAAGAAGAAAAGACAAAAGGGCTACTTGGAGCCTCCTGTTTGGAAGTATAAGCAGGCCAAAGAAGAGAAAAAGAAAGAAAAGAAAAGGCAGGCAATGCAAAAAGACCAAGACAAAAAGTCTAAAGGGTCCAAAAAATCATCAAGCAAAAGCTGAGTCTGTTGGTGTTCTGCCAGAGAAAACATCAGTGATAACTCCATGCACGCATTAAAGAATCATCTCTGGAGTCAGATGGAACTGGAGACAAAACCATTGCAAAACACTGGGAGTAAGCACTGAACAAAAACATGGATTTAACTAGAACATTTTACTAAATTAATCTCAGATGTTGAGTTATTTTTATATCTAATGCTGACTGTTCTGTTAACCCATTGTTTGGGTTCAGAAATGTTTTAACATAGACCTTTCTTACGCTAAGCCATAACGGGTCAGCAGGTTGTATAAAGTCACAATATGAATCGCAGACTTTATGTTTAAAAAACTTTTTGCAAAAATCTCACCAACCATGCAAACCTGTAAGGTAGCATCCAGGTATTTTTCAGTACGACCAAACACCCATTAGCCTATACTGTTTGTATAATATATGTCATCAATGGCCTTCAGAAAATGAACTAATGTCTTCGTTAACTTTTATTTTTGTGATGTTAAAGGGACCAAAAGGACAAAACATGTGATTTGTTTGTTCGCAAGCAGTTTTCATTTGGTTCATTTTTTTCTATAGCACCTTAGATTATTTTTAATATGCACAGTAATGTAGCATAAACATTACAGAATTAGAAATGCAAGGATTAGCTGAACTAACATGTGACTGGTATCTAACCTTAGATACTCCTTTCAAAATAATAAGCTCATTATAGGCTTCTTACAACAGCCTATAATGAGCTCGCTCTGTGGCAAAAAGTGGCTTTTGAACCCTGGTTGCCAGTAATCTTTTAATCCACAGAGGACCATCGTTACACAACTATCATCTTTTTTTATTAGTGTTTAAAACTGAAACTTTCACATGCTGAGAGTGGCTTTTAGACTTGTTCTCATGAATCTAGCTGTTTCACAATCACGCCTCCTGTGAGGAAAAGACTTGCAGCAGCAAGATCAAAAAAAAAAAAAAAAAAAAAAGAGAAGCTAAATGAGCTTTTTCTGATCTTTTGTTGTCACATTGTATTTTCAGAAGTGTGGCTCGCTTCCTCTCAACAGTGGGGAACTAGGTGACCTGAGGTCAGCCCTAAAATAAATAGCTCAGTAAGGGTTCAATGAAGGAACGCATTAAACTTTAAGCATCTCTCTTGAGACTCGGGCTTTTTCAAAAGCCCAGAATAAACCAGACTGTCCAGATCGTTACTTTGTGGATGCACAAACATCAACCTTTGATGTAAAACACTGACAGAAAATAAGTGAGTCACTTATGGAAGCGTTTCAAGTTGTGTTGCTCTTCAAACCATTAAAAAAAAGGGTTTGTTTTTAAAAAATAAAAGTTTTTTTTCTTTGCATGTCAGTTAATGTGAGATTATCCAGCTGTGTCTGCAGCTGTGAGCCAAACTGGACAGATTACAGGGCCTGAGAACAAGGAGGGGAGTTTACTGTACATTACGGACATGAAGAAGTCTCTGAGGCTTCGCTGAATGAAGCCGTGTCCCCAGTGTACGTCTTTTGGCATCTAAAAGACAATTTAAGACAAACATCAGCTGCTAGAATCACACAGCACTGAGAATGTTTCAGGACTGAAGCTTTTTATACATCAAGATGAGAAATGTAATCATGTAGTCATCAACTCTGCCATCAATCAATCATAAATTAGAAGTAGGGTTGACTGAACAGACTTTTCTTTAGAATATTATGACTAAATGACAAAAATGAACTAGTTTATGCAGCATTGACTATAAGTTTTAGTCACAAATGGTTGTTTTGTTGCCCTGTGATGGACTGCTGATCTGTCCAGGATGTACCCCGTCTCTCACCCAGACCAGGAACAAGCAGGTAAACAAAATGGGAGGGAAAATACAAAATGCACCTCCAGCCATGATGGCCACAAAGGTCACTCCTTCTGCACGGATCATCCTGGAACTGTAATCTTTCACAGCCACTGGGCTCGACTCGGTCCTGCTCAGGTCGACTAGATGTAACTTTAGAATCTTTGAGTGATCCAAGTCATCCAACCCACTTCCAGCTCAGTTCTTTGGACATACTTGGCTGAGTTTCCTAGCGAGGTTGACATTGGCAGACTGCAGGCCTTTGATTGGCCAGATGGTGACGTCAGTGCACATGCTGCAACACGGACATTGTCCAGATGAATGAACAGCAACAGAGTAATGAAAAGGTGTCATACAAAAGTGTAGAGGTGTAAAATTTGCTAATTTAATATTTGATTTCAATGGAGGGCAGCACAGTGGTGCAGTTGGTAGAGCTGCCGCCTCTCAGTGAACAGGTCGTCCCGGTTCAAATCCTGGCTGGGGCCTTTCTGTGTAGAGTTTGCATGTTCTATCCGTGCATGCGTGGGTTTTCTCCGGTTTCCTCCCACAGACCAAAAACATGCATGTTGGGCTGATTGGTAACTCTAAATTGTCCCTACGTGTGAGTGAGAGAGTGAATGGTTGTTTATCTCTATGTGTCTCCGTGATGGACCGGAGACCTGTCCACAGTGTACCCCGCCTCTCGCACAGTGATGGCTGGACATGGGCACCAGTGACTCCCCACAACCCAAAAAGGAAAAAACGGGTCAAGATAATGGATGGATGGATTTCAATGGAGCATATGTCATTTTTAAAAAAGAGTTGATCAATAAGCTGCTAAAATGAGCTTCCTTAGCAGGGTGGCCAAGCTCAGCCTTAAGACTCCCACATATTCAGACCAGCCCACCAGGAAATCTCCAGACCCTCCCGCAGCCACGCCAGGACTGATTTTAAATCTCTCGTGACAAATTCCTTCATTTTTCACAATTTCAGTTACGGTGTCAATGGAGGAGGAGGAAGAGATCCCTTGCCTCATGGCAAAAAAACTAAAGCAAAGGCCATTAAACCAGATCAGGGATGAAGAAGAGAAATTTAATACATTGGTGTCGCATACAAAACAGTCCGTCGCCGTGCAGTTTATTGTGCAACAGAAAGTACACGTACGCGATCGTAAAATGTATTTTTGCGCAGACATGGCTTGTGGGCGTCCGCTTCAAGTCCTCGGTGAGTCTAATCCAGTACACGTGGACCTCTGCAGAGTTAACACCCGAGTATGTGGGAGCCTTTAGAGATGGGGTGAGAAGTAGCCGCTGCTCCTCCACATCAAAAGGAGTCATTTGAGGTGGTTCAGGCATCTGAATAAATAGGATGCCTCCTGGACACCTCTAGGGTTTCTGGGCACATTCCACTGGTAGGAGATCCCAGGAAAGATCCAGAACTCGTTGGAGGTACTGTGTATCATCTTTGGCCTGAACGCCTTGGGGTCCTCCAAGATGAGCTGGAAAGTGTTGCTGGGGTGAGGGATTCCTCTCCTGGACTGGTTGCCAATGCCTCAGCAGCCCGACTATGGATGAGAGGTATGGAGAAGTGTGAAACTAAACATGCCCTGATTTGGTTAGCTGTTAGCCTAGCCTAAAAGAAGACTTTGACCAGGGGCACAGCTGATGAGATGCAATAGAGACAGGCATCACTGCAAAAATGATCAGATTACTTTAAAGTCCAAAAAAAAATCAGTTTTCAGACTTGAACATTAATGGACTGTGGGTGAATCCATTAAAATGTGCATTTGGTGAAGCTGCATAAAACAACCAATTTGTCTGTGATTTAAACCTGCTGTTGCACAGTGCCTGTTTCATGAACAATTCAACAAGAGGAACTTTAGCAAAGCATTTGCAACATTTTCTGCGAGTAAAACACATCACATCAGATAATAATCTCCATCATGATAAAACGTTTAACACATTTCGCCTCTGAACTTAAAAGGAACACAGAAGTGCGTTGTTAAAATTCATTATTTAAAAATAGTTTTGCATGCCCAAACTTGCTCGGTTTGTCTGGGAGAAACCGTTTTGTTGACGCACATTCCTGTGCGTGCAGCGCACACTCGGGTCCGCAGAGGGGAACGGAAAAGGAGAGGTTTGGCGAGCAACAGGAAAAGGCGCTCAGAGAAACACATTCCAGGCTGTGCCGAGTCTGTGCGGAACAATGAGGGGTGGGACGAGAAGCCGCACTATTTAAAACATCTCTAATCTCCGATTTTGATCAGGAACTGAGCGCGGTAGCTGATGGGAAAATGACGCTCTCCGCGCGCTGAAGCTGCCGGGGCGAAAGGACGCGAGTTCGAGCCCCGTAGTGACGAGCTCGCGCTTTACCGGCGCTGATTTGGACCGAGATAAACAGGCTTTTCTGTGTTGAAACTTGCTCACTGCTTTTTTTTTTTTTTTTAAAGAAAGGGTCCCATGTGAGTGGTTATGCGCCTGGTCGTCATCGAGGCTGGAAGATGTGAGGTCTCACCGGATGAAACATCTGCAGCCTGTCTCTGACATGGGACACCTGTCCAGTTAAAAGTCAAACAGAAAACAGGTAAAGACTGTTTTGTTTTGTTTTTTGTGTAGATCCAAAGATGTAACCTCTTTGGAAAAAGCAGCACTGACAGTCCACCTGTTTCCAGATGTGAGCAGGTGTAAGGTGGATCTGCATTTTAACCCATGCTGCTCAATCCTGGGTAAATAATCCTGAACAGTCTCCTCTGCTGTGACATAGAAATAGTGGTTTATAAAAGTAATTCACTGTGTTTGATCTGCATGCATCCAGATGTGTGGGAAGAGCCCTGCTGTATAATCTGTTCAGTGTGTATAATGCTAAGATTTTACAAGTTTATGTGATGTGATTATCATTACTGAAGAAAATATGTTGCATCACAACTCTGAATTAAGGTGTTTTGTGTTAAATTGTGTTTTTTCATCACGCTACATAAAATATTTATATAAACAGAAGCTTTAAACTAAACTCAAAACAATTACAGTCTTTCTTAATCTGACATGTGCCAAACACCCTGAAATGGCAGATGTCTTCTTTTGAGTGTTTTTGCAGCATTAAGCTGTTCTAAGTGAGAAGTGAAAAAATCTGCTGATGTAGTTGTTTGAAAAAATTACACTATTTTGTTCTTGCACGTGCTTCATGCGAGGCCGGTCGCAATAAACAATAAATCAATTAATCGCATGATAAATGAAAATTATCACCTCATTTTCATTTATCAGCTTTATCGTTTCTTCGTGTCTCTCTCTTTCTACCGAAGACACTGGATGACAAAAAGCTCAACTCTGGTGCTCTTCACTGACCCCTCCCAAAATCACGTTTTTGGTTCGTTAAATGCAGCTAAGCTGAGAAACTAAGCTACACGCTAAGCTAACAGGCCGACCTCAGGAAAAAACCTCCGTCTTGTCGAAGCTCCAAAATTCACAGTTGAACCCGTGCCTTTGTCTAAAAAGTTGTTTTTCTCTGCAAAAAGAAGCTGAGAACTGGTTTACTGATATTTATTAAGAGCTTTGTGTGAAAAATGCTATGCTAAAGAACTCAAACCACACCGAGCATCTGCCATTTTGAGAACTGAAGAGAGAGACAGCCCATGTCACGTCAAGAGGCCTCCCTCCCATTTTTCTTAGAGACACGCTGCTCGCTCCCTCACTATCCATCCTTCAGTTCAAACAGTCTTATACTGCCATTCAGTGATTAAAAAAAAAGGTACATTCAAAATAAATTAAACATTTCTTCTTGGACTTGACAACAATTACTAATTATTGCCAAATTTCAAACAATATAATTATTTATCACAATAATTTCTGAGACAATTAATAGACCAGCAAAATTTGTTATCGTGACAGGCCTACTTCGCGAACCTGTTCTGTGCACAAGGTCAGAGCAAAACTTTCTCTCACATTTTGAGTCCATTGAGTGTAACTGGTCAGAACTTTGTTGCGGGCGTGTTTAAACAGAAAAGCAGGTGAATCACAATGGTGTCATTTTGTTTTCCCTGCTCTGCTGAGGAGAAGCTTAAAGAGTCAAAGATCTTGTGGAAGGAGACAACAGGCTCAGGCTGTGTTGGACAGCTGGGAGTAAAGGCCTGGCAGCATAGGGACATGCTACGTTTGCAGGCTGGAAACAGTGGCAATCTCTGTTGCAAATGCCAAACTACTTGCACTGTTCCAGCCTGTCTAATAACAACGTCTCATTATGGTAAAGGAAGTAAAAATTTGGATAAAGGTGAAAAAGTGGAACCCCTGGGGAGAAGTGCTTCCCAGGAGTTTCGCACGGCAGTTTTTAGTTGAGAATAAAATGTTCATGTCAAAGAAAAATGTGTCGCCACTTCATCAGAGCAGACTTCCTGTGGGAGTCCTTTTTCGTATAAAGCAAAACTTCTTCACTTCTGGCTAAGTATAGAGAAGTCTTGAGTTTTTAAAGCAAGTCCTTTTATTTTCAGACCATCGATAAATGTTGCTCAAAATTTTGTATTTATATTCAAAGAGGAACGCAAAATAATTTTATAAATAGCTTGGCTTTGACTAATCACGTGTTACATTTATCATATTTCAGTTTTGATCTATTGATGTTAGGTCTTGTTGAAAGATTATGAACAAGTAATATCTTACCTGTTGTAGATAGCTCTGTGGACAGTCTCAAAGTGAAGAAGTAGAGAGAACCCAGCTAGTCTGAGCAGGACTAAGGCCAAAGTCGATCTCTGTCATCTTAAAACAACTTGTTAAAAACTTTACAATGGCTCAGGTTATAAACTTTTACACTGCCGTGAGTTTTACATTATGTAGTTTTTCCTGTAGAAAAGTTGTGATATTTCTGCAGGACGTGCTCCAAGTTGCACCAGAAGTGCTACAGCTTGCTGCAGCAATTTGTTAATGCAATGTAAAGGACTGGTTTATAAAGCAGTGTTCACATTAATTACTATGGAATCTTTAAGATTATGTTAACCAAACAGCAGTCCACTCTGGTCTTGGCCTCTCTCTGACTAGCCACTAGCTCATCAGTCCAGTCAGGATTAAACTCTAATATTTCAAACAGATTGCTCAAATAGCTATCTACAACAGATAAGATATTGTTTCTTCATTTATTTTCCATAATTCAAGTCACAACAGAAGTTGTCTAAGGGCACTGTATGAGAACATCCACATACATTAAAAAAAAGGACAATTAATAAAAGTCATCGATCTAAGGGAGACAGCAGATTGCGTTGAATCTTCATTTCGTCACAGTCTCCCATCCTGAGCAAGCACAATGGCAACAGTGGAAAGGAAAACTCCCTCCTAACAGGTAGAAACCTCCAACAGAACCAGGCTCAGGACGAGCAGCCATCTGCTTCAACCGGTTGGGTTTAAGAGGAACAGGAAGGAGGAACAAACAAATACAGAGTGGCAGGTCCAGGTGCACTTTCTATAGGAAGAAATACAAAAAACGCATGTTAGATAGAAATACTTGCAAATACACAGGTTGAGTAGAGCAAGTACAGACATCAGCAGAGTGATGAAGTGTGGTCATTTAGTCCTCAAGCGGTCTAAGCCTATAGCAGCATAACTAAGGGATAGCTCAGGAAACCCAAGCCAACCCTAACTATAGTAATTATAAAGAATTTTAAAAACTTAAGCCCAGTCTTAAAACGTGTCAACAGTGTGTCAGATTCACGGACAGAAACTGGAAGTTGATTCCACAAGAGAGGAACTGAAAGAGCTGCCTCCCATTCTGCTTTTGGAAACTCTAGGAACAACAAGTAAACCTGCAGTCTTTGAGAGAAGTGCTCTGTTAGGAAAATATGGAACAATAAGATCTGTAATATAAGATGGAGCTAGGTTGTTGAGAGCTTTGTAGGTTAGAAGTAAAATTTTGAATTATATTTTGAATTTGACAGGAAGCCAGTGGAGAGAAGTTAAAACTGGAGAGATATGATCTCTCCTGCAACTCTCGTTAAAACTCTGGCAGCAGCATTTTGGATAAAGTGAACATAATTCAAAGATCTAAACCAGCATTTGATGGTGATTTTGTTTTCAAGCTGCTGACTTCCATCTGACTACACAAAAGAATAAACTTTGAAATAATTAGTTTATTTATTTTACTTTTTATTCAGCAACAGGATGTAAATATTGTCCTAACCTTATCCTTTGGGTATTTTCAAGAAATAAAATATGGATTAAAAAAAGTGCATTTGTGTTCAAACACATGTGCAGAATTTGTTTATTTGCCGGATAATTCAGCCCATATCTTCAAAATGTCAGTACTCCCTTTTTATTTTCTCTTTCTCCCACCCGTCTTACCCAAACACACACACACACACACACACACATTTGCCCTTTTGAACCTTACAGACTGCAGATCATCTTCCAGGTGACTGCTGGTGATCACCCCCTCAGGTGCACATTATTCAAACTTGTGCTTGTTGTTTCCTTTTATTGTTTTCTCCTTTTTGGCACCAAAACATGTCATGTGTGCACAACGTGTCTTCAGTAGAGCATTTGTCATTTCCTCTCCCTGACAAGCTTTTATTATAAATATGATGCGAGTATGCAGGAAAACACTGGACCACAGCTGGTTCATCTCCTTCTGTAACATGAAGCTGCAGTCTGGTGGTGTAAGCATCACGTCTTTACAAACAAGACAGCTTTATTTTAGTTTCAAGCTTTCCTTTCCATGGAAAGTTTTTCTTCTTAAGTGCGAGGAGGCCCAACTGAGGGGTGGCTGAAGAGGATCGTGCGGAGCCATGCCCCCACAATCCACCACTATAACAGTCATCCAGATGGAATGAGAGATCTGCTTTGTCGGGTCAAAGCTGTGCAGATGAGAGGATGAGATGACACTGATGGTTTTCCCATGGGTTCGCTTTGGACAGAACGGAGACAAGCAGGAGCGACGGCTGCTCCACATGAAGTCAGTGTGCTGAGACGGAGGGTTTCTTTTCTCTAAGACGACATGAGGGATGTTATAGACTTTATGGAGGGTAAGTTCATTCTGTGGGTGGAGCTCATCTCAACACAGATTTACCATCACGGAAACACACTCAGGAAGTGTTAGCTGCGTGGTAAAATATGGCGGTTGTGGTTTTTGCACATTAGACTGATGACTTTTGAACCATTTCACTGGATCACTGATAGGAAAAAAATCTAAAGATAGATCTTGTTTTATGTTACAATCATTTTTCCGGTGAATCAAAATTTTTTTTTTATTGCCTGCCTCTAAAGGCAGTGTTTGCCTGTGTGTGTGTGTGTGTGGGGGGGGGGGGGGGGTGTCTGTTAGCAGTCTCCTGAAGCAGTGTACACATTTTAATGAAACTTTCAGAAAAGCTTGGTGTGGTGGTATCTGAGAGTCATCCTCATAGCTCAGAGTGCTTAACATCTGTTATGAGAGCTCACGACGATATGCACTTTTTTAACGAGCGCTGTTTCAGAGGAGAAACCTCATCCACAGCATGGGTTTGTTTTGGATGTTTTGAGTGTTCACAATTACAGAGCAATCTGATAAATCAGAGATGAATATTCTCGTGAAATGTATGTACTTTTGTATTCAGTGACATTTCACGTTGCTCGATGCGATAAAGCAGCTTCCTGTAGTTTGTGCTGTAAACCGTCTAACTACATGAGTCAAAACTAAAAGAGGATACTGGAAGGCCTGTGCTGATGTTTGCAGGTTTCTCTGTCAGATGTGTGACGCTCAGCTGCTGAAAGAGAAGACAGGTTGGTTGGTTTCAGGTCTGAGAGTTATATATATATATATATATATATTTATTTTTTATTTATTTTTTATTTTTTATTTTTTTATTTTTTTTTTTCTTAAAGGTTCATTTTATATTGTGATTTATGGTATTTCAAAACAGGACTAAATGCTTGAGTAGAAAAAAATCTACTTGAAGCTTTTTAATTTATTTTATTTTTTAGATGAAATATCAAGAACCAATAAAATACCTTTACAGGCTTTTTGTTGCAGTATTTCAGATTCTAATAAGCTGGAGGTCTAAAAAGACACATTCATAGAGGCTGGACTAGGGGTCTGCAACATGCGGCTCTGGAGCCACATGCAGCTCTTTCAAGCTTTGACCAAAACAAACATAAAACTGAATGTTATTGGTCGTTATACAAACAGCAAAAAAGGACTAGTTTTAGCAGTTTTGCTGTAATTTATTTTGCAAATATGTGAACACTGGAACAAGTACAAGGAGTAAAACATGCTCACTTTAACTTTATGCTTTATTTCTATACTTAATAAATTTTTCCCAATAAAAAAAAATACATAGATCTGAATAGTTCATAGTTTTTATTACTGGTAATTAAAAAACTACACCCACTCCTCCTCTTTCTCTCTACATGAATCTGGTCTTTTCATTTGTCTTAAATTGTAAAAATGTCAATAAATGTTAAAAATCACTACTGGTAAATATTTTTAGCTTTATAATGTCACCACTACTGGCCACAAAAGTCTCCTCCAACAAACCTAAAGTGGGCCCATGGGCCACCAGTTGATAATCCCAGTTGAAGCAGGTTGTTGCGGCTCTGAACACTTTAAATTTAGTGAACGAAGGCATAAAAATGGCTTTTTTGATCATAAACGTTGCAGACCCCTGGGCTAGATAGTGTTTATTTTAAAATTATAAAGGATAAGATAATTTGCACAAAAACGTTCATGAATTTTTATTTTTCAAGATGCAAACTATCAAAGCCCATGAGCATTTAGAGTCTGTTTGGGATTAAATGATTGTGAGAACAAATGGAGCTCCAGCCCAAACTATTCCATTTTCTAAAATGTATTTTTAAAATATCTACATCTTTTATTTCTTGATACTGGACCTTGGCTTTGAAATGTGCCATCAAGTTGTTTCCTAACTGTAGCAACTTGTTGAAAAGTGTTTTCATCTTATCTTTATCACACTGACAGTCTGTTTTACAGTTTTATATCATTTGATTAAAGCCTAATTATAACTAAATGTGCTTTTAATTTGTATTTATTACACATTCATTCTTTACAACAGAGGAAAGTTGTGCCACACAAGTGACTTGGAATTATTTGCCATCTCAAATTAAGCTAAAATTTTGAATTATTTTAATTGTATTGACATTTGTGACTCGTGCTCATCATGCTCTACATTCATGTTTGCACAGACAGTCCCAAATCAGTTAAATAAATACACAGTTTGTTTTTTTTAAGCCACTTGGCTCAGCATTACGTTGGAGTGTTCAATGTTGTTTGAGAGTTTATGTGAGTTTGCAGAACTCAGCCAGTAAAATTATGTTTCGTTGGAGTTATCACAGAGTGTGTTGCTACATTAACGTTTAACAACCTTTATTTACTAAGTACCTTGTCATTCCTGAACCTGCAAGAAAAACAGCTTCAGAAACAGAAAACATTTTAGAGCAACGGTCCAATAAAGCATCCGTGACACTTGACCTTTATGTGATGCTCGTGTTTGTGGGTATCTGAGTTGGCAAGAGAGATTAATGAAGCACAGATTATGTTGCTGTTTTTCACAATTCAGTAATGATTTTTAATATTAAAAGTCAGTTTTATATGTTCTTACTACTTTTTTTTTCTTCTTCTTTCGGCTGCTCCCTGCGTAAGGGGTCGCCACAGCGAACTAAGTCGCACTAAGACTTGGCAGTTGTGGGTTTTTTTACGCCAGATGTCCTTCCTGACGTATATATATATATATATATAAATATATATCAAACCCAGACTATTTGACCAGAAGGACGATGTAGCAGATCTTTGCAGATGTTTATGTGTCGCATAGTAATTTATATTTGGCACCAGCTTTTATTTTGAAAATTATTATAGTACATAAATATTATGAAGAATAGCCTTCATGATTTCCAACTAAGGCAATATATAAAAATAATGAAATAAAAATAATAAAGTGTTATGCGTTGTCATCATTGTATGTTCCCATGTAAACTACATATAATAAAACAAACGGTACAAGCCATATGAATGTGAAACATAAAATAAACTGTGGCAGTTACACTCCCACCAAATCACACATCCTGTATGTGGGATTTCTCTAAATCGAACTGACGCTTCACTCTAAAAATGAAACAAACAAAAAAGTTACTCTGCTTCAGGCAGACCAAAAACATTATGTACAGGTCGGTCAAGTGAAACTGTCTTTGTTGTACGTTTACCACGTTTGTCTAATGTATTCTCACTAACTAATAGTGTGACCTTTCTCACCCTGTAATCTGATCCAGGGTATATATATATATATAATAAGGCAGTTTGGTGGGATAAGTTAAATTATTTATTCTTTTTACTGTTTAAATCTTTATATGTTATTGTTAATTAATGTTTTCAATAAATGTAACATTCCAAAGTCACTCAGAATTCAAGGTACAGACTTGCATGACTCTCAGCGCTGCAGCTTTTAAACAATGAGCAGAACTGAGTCTCGCCGGTCAGCCGGGTGGGGCCGCTCAATGGCAGGAAGCACAGCCATCAATATTTACTCTGCAGTGGTGGAGCCGTCAGGCCTGGAGCCCCTGCAGCACAGCGCCACACACAGTCCAAGCACACACACACAGTCCAAGCACACACACACAGACATACTTGGTTCCCCTAATCCCCCCCCCCCCCCCACACCCAATGCAATTAAAACACAGGCAGACAGGCTGGACCCTTCGGCTGTTCTTTTTGACCTCACAGCTTCCTCGGAGGCCAGACTCAGACTGGTTTTAACTCCTCATGGACACGGCTATTAAGTTACCATCTTTAAACTGAATTCAAGAAGCAGCTTTTCCAGGATATTAATAATTTCAAATAATTTTGACTGTTCCTACTTTAAAAAAGAAGAAGAACTTGCTTTAAAAAAAAATTCTGATGTTTTGGATTTGTTTCAGAGATGGGAAGCTCGGCTCTGCTCACAGTTGTGCTTGCCGGAGTGTTTCTGTGGATTTCTGTTATTCGTGCAGGTGAGTTCATGTTTTGCAAGAAGCTTCTGGCCCTACTTTACAGTATTTTTGACATTTTATTCCTCCTTCTAAACAAAAGCAGGTGTGTCTCAGTCAACAAGTTCAGACGAGGTTGTTGTTTAGTGTCTGTCATGAGAAGGATTAGTCAAAGTAAATGAGTGGCACGTGAAGACTGTCTAAACCAGTTCAGTTAGTTGATCTTTATCCGTCTGGGGCGTTTTGAACAATGTCGAGTTTTTCTTAAATAAGATCATGCAAGCCAACAAACCTCGTAATTACATTTAAAGCACACACTGAGCATCAGATCACTGCATTTAGGATCCACAGTGAGGCTAAAGCATCTTCAGAGGGATGTATTAATGCAAAAAATTAGAAGTTCACATTCTGTTTTCTCATTCAAAGTGAGCAGTTTGTAAATTTAAACCAAAATTACCACTCCTGGTGCACCACACGGCCTGCTTGTTGATGTTATGTCTTGTGGCAGCCAGGAAATGAGGTTAGCATGTTTTCTTACCGTTAAAACCGGTGGTTCCCCCCAAAGGAGCTCAACCCTGTTCTGTTATGTCAAATAATTACCATTTTCTTAAAGTCTTTGAGTTTTAAGCTTAATTCTCCTTTCTTGTTTATTTTTCTTTCATGTAAAGCAATTATTGTGCTCATTTGTCTTTTTTTTAGTATGACTGATAAACTGTTGCCTGTCTGCCACAGAGGGCCTTGACGACCCACAGGGTGAGAAGCTGCTGTGTACCTGCGAGAACGACAAAGGCACATGCAGCAACGGAATGTGCCGAGGAGACTACTGCTTCTACACCTGGGTTCACGGCAGAGAGGAGCGGGGATGTTTCACCAAAGATCACTTCAGAGAGCAGTGCTCCGGCTCCTTCAAAGGCCTTTTCACCCACTGCTGCACAGAGACCAAGTGCAACGCCTTCGTCACACCACCTCCAAATATTAGTCAGTATCCAAAAAAATACAAATTCCCATTATTGGAACAATATCTATGATGTGTGAGGAACCTGTGTGCAGTATGAGCCCAATCTGCTCAAGAGCTTCCTGCAGATCAGAGCAGATCATTTTGTACTTGTTGCTTCTTCTTGGACGGCGTCTAGCTCCCCCTTGTGGTCATTTGGAGCAACTACACAATCTTGAACTTATAACCACAACAGAAAACTAATTTTAGCTGATCAGTTTTCTGCAAAATGTGAAACAAATTTCAGCAACAGAATGATATTGCTTACTACATATTAATCAACCACCTCATTAATTTACCTTCCAGCTGTGCAATGTGTTGTTTTCCTCTGAAATTCATTTGAAAATAAGATATTTTTAACAGGTTTACAGCATATTGCTGAGGAGAAAACACCCAGAGTGCAGTTTTGCAAACAGTACTGAGTTATTACATATGAGAATCAGGTATTCAAAAAATATCTCATGAAAGTTTTGTCAAATTAAGGCATCAGTCGATATTAGAGAAAAAATACAGTCAGTCACACTTAAATATCCAACAAACTGTCCTATTTGTTTATGTTTACTCAAATAATTTAAAATGATAAAAACACATGTTTTTTTTCAACGTGAGATGTTAATAATGTTCCACAAATCTATAAATGGAACTCACATAGGCCTCTATAATCCAGTAGTTACCTGTACACAAGATGATTCCCACCTTTTCATAAGAGTTTTAATGTTTTTCTTTGTCCTAAAAAGTAACACTACTGATAAATGTCAACAGTTTATTTGAGTTGTTTCATTCCAGGTTGTAAAAAACTTATTTTCTGTCACATTTAAGTAAAACTGTGGCTCTTGATAAATTATGTTTTGTGGGAAAAGGTGCCGAAACAAATTTTATGATTGTAAATATTGCAACCCCCCTACACTATATAGCGATATTTTCCCCTCCCTTTGTAAATAAAGCCAAAAATAAACATCTGATCTGTTTAATATTTTTATATTTCTTGACCGTTTTAAATGTGTGTGCACGGATGTGACTTTAGATTTATGTTTATTCAGATGGGGAGCTCATGACAACAACATCTCCAGAATTCCCTCAGCCATCGTTGTGGATCGCTGTGTCTTTGCTGCTCTCGTTCACGGCCGTGAGCGTGTGCAGCTTCGTGCTATTAATGCGCTTCCGACGAACCGCCGGCAAACTGAGAGACCCCGAAGACCGCGGTGCTATGATCAAAGTCCCCAACGGAGATGACCCCACATATGGCGTAAGGAGGCACAATCACTTTCAATGGTTTTATTATTATATTATATATTTATCTGTGTGTTCTGTTGTCCAGGATATTTTTGATGAGTTTTGTACATCAGGGAGCGGAACAGGACTTCCATACCTGGTCCAAAGGACTATGGCTCGACAAATCTCACTTGTTGAGTGTGTTGGTCAGTCTTTTTTTCTTGTGGTTGTTTTCCTTTTGCGGTTTTTAAAATCTTGATCTTCTTTTGCAAATGTGTAACTGTGCTACTCTGCTTCCAGGTAAAGGCAGGTATGGTGAGGTGTGGAGGGGAACGTGGATGGGGGAGAGTGTAGCCGTCAAGATATTCTCCTCCAGGGACGAGCAGTCGTGGTTCAGAGAAACAGAGATCTACAATACTGTGCAGCTGTGCCATGAAAACATTCTGGGTATGGGAGATAAACACTGAGAGAAATCCCTCTTGTGATTCAGTCTCTTTGAACAGGAAGACATGGTGTCATTTTGACGAGCACCCTGCAGAAGACAAATCGTTCAACAGCCTCCATTATTCTGGCTTTTAGGTTTTATCGCGTCGGACATGACGTCTAAGAACTCCAGTACCCAGTTGTGGCTCGTCACTCATTTTCATGAGTTGGGTTCCCTCTACGATTTCCTGCAGTACAGCAGCCTGGAGCCAGAGGGCTGCCTGAGGATGTGCCTGTCAGTGGCCTGCGGCCTAGTCCACCTCCACACTGAGATTGTCAGCGCACAGGAGAAACCGGCAATCGCCCACCGGGACCTGAAGAGCAGAAACATCCTGGTGAAGCGAAACGGGCAGTGCTGCATCGCGGATCTAGGTAAAAAGTACTTTAAAGAAATAAACATCTGAGTCCTAATAAAAACACACAGCTACTGTATGTCTGCTTCCAAACTTCTGCTGTGCTTTCAGTATATTTGCACTCTTTCCTCAGGTCTGGCTGTGATCCACTCTCAGTCTCATGACTACCTGGATGTGGGCAACAATCCTCGCGTAGGGACGAAGCGTTACATGGCTCCTGAAGTGCTGGACGAGACTATTCGTTTGGACACTTTTGAGTCTTATAAGCAAACTGACATCTGGGCTCTTGGCCTGGTCTTCTGGGAAATAGCCCGCAGGACAAACGTCAACGGTAAGGTGACTTCCGCAGCCAGTTGAAGAGATATTCTAAAGGCGATTATGTATTTATCTGTGGCTCTCGAAGAAGCTGATGTGTGAGCGCCTCACATATCGTATTCAAAGAGTGTTTCCTCCCTCGTGTCCGTCTCTCTCTGTGAGAATACACATTCAAAGCTGCTAGTCTTGTGTCTCTCATCAGTCCAGTGTTTTTCTACTCCGTGTCTGTCTCTACTATCCTGTTTCACGATTAGCACTGCAGTAATTATAAACAGTCTTATCTGGTGTCAGCACTCGCGTCTACATGATCCAGATGCCCATTCGCACAAGTCATGGATGCTAGCGCACAAACTTGGACACACACACACATAGAGTATAAAACGCTTGTGCAGATGGATACACGTGTGTGTTCTTTGTGTTTCTTGCAGTAGGAGTTGGTATTTTTCCTGCTCTCTTGTTTAGCCAAACATATTTTGATATAACTCCCACTGCAGCATGTCTTTGAGTTTGAGTGTGCTGTAATCTACAATAAATCTTGTTGCAACTTTTACCGTATTTTTCAGAATATGAGGTGCACTTAAAATCCGTTAATTTTCTCAGAAATCTACAGTGAGCCTTATATATTAATTCTGGTTGTGCTTACTGACCTTGAACGGATTTTATGTGGTTATTGTGAGTGTGTTGAATAAAGTTTGACTTATCTAACTGTTTTATTTTGCTTAATGTACCTTATAATTCGGTGCGCCTTAAGAAAAATATGATATTGTTAAACTCTGTGCATGTGTGGGTGTGTGTGAACTAAGGTTAAGACTTTAACTGTACTGTATTTTATTTATATTCCTTCAAAAAAAAGTGACTTTTATTCATTCGTTGATTTATTCACAGGAATTGTGGAAGAGTACCGTCCTCCTTTCTTTGACCTGGTTCCTATAGATCCCAGCTTTGAGGAGATGAAGAAAGTGGTTTGTGTGGACCAGCAGAGGCCCAGTCTGCACAACAGACTCCACTCACATCCAGTAGGCTCTCATCTCACCACTCACACACACACACACACACACACAGGTTTGTTTTGCTATCTTTGTGGGGCCTTTGCATTGACTTCCATTCATTTTTCATTCATTTCTATAGCCTAACCATGACCTTTATCCATAACCTAACCATTACCAGTACATACCTAACCCTAAACCTAACACATCCTCAATTCACACCTTAGTCCTAAACCTAGCCCCTAACCCACCAAAGGGACTTCTTCTTATGGGGCCCGGGCTTTGGGCCCCATAAGGAGCAGTTGGTCCTCACAATGCAGTATAAGTTGGAAAAATGGGCCTCACAAAGTAGCATAAACAAGGACGCACACACACACACACATGCACCGTTTTCTGCTAACAGCTTGCAGGGGATCAGTTTGCTGATGAATTTGTATTAAGATGTTGTAAAATTATGTTGTGACATATTTTTATTAATCTGAATAAAAGGACTTGATGTGTATCTTTGCAGCAGACTGAAAATATACACGTTATCCTTTAGGTTGGAAATCTTTTTATGTTAAAATGAATTGTTTGTTTGTTTCAAACAAAAACAGTAAAATCTATGTGTCTATTCTATTCTAGTCTATTTAAGGAAATGACAGAAAATGTTTGAGAATAGCAACTAAAGTCCTTCGAAGGAACTTCAAAAAGCTTGTAGAACTATTGATTAAGACCTCTTGGGATTATTAAAAGAACGCCTGGATGCTTAGAATTAAAAGATAAAGAAATAAGTGACTGCTCAAGACTTTTGCACAGTAGTGTGCAGTACGTCTTTATTAACAGAAGAAAAAAAATTCTACTGTGACAAGCAGATGATACGATGGTGGGTGATCAAGAAATTGTGTACGCCTGTGTGCACACGGTTTGTTCGTCTGTTAGCAAAATATCTCATGAACCACCAGACTGATTTGGATGAAACGCTCGGAGAATAATCACAGAGCGTCCATCTCCAACTGATTCATTTAGAACATTGTTAAAAGGTTAAATCCTTCACGAAGTGCTGCGTTTTAATTTGTTTTTGTCTTTGTGCGTTCAGATCTTGTCCACCCTTGTGAAGCTCATGAAGGAGTGTTGGTACCAGAACCCAACGGCCCGCCTCACAGCCTTGCGAGTGAAAAAGACTCTTTCCAAACTGGACACAGAAAGTGACTTCAGCATGGATAAACTCAAGAGGCACATCTAGACACGAGCACCAGAGACTCAGACAAACACCACGTCATAATAACGAGTTTAAATGTCTAGACTAGATACCACCCAGCGGTTTCTTTTTGATTTTTTTTTTTTTTTTTTAAGAATTAATTTACATGTTTCCAGTTCCTCAAAGCAAAGGTCGAGTCACACAGGAAGTGTTTTTTTTAAATCTCCATATATAAAACTTTTATATGTATATGGTTTATCATCCCCCAACATTACGCAGACAGGATGGAAATTTTATCATAACACATTTACTCATACTCATCTTTTTCCTTTTTGTCATTTTTTTTTTCTTTGCTGGGTGGAATTTCCACAATGACTACTCAAAACCACAAAAAGTCACAAAGCTTGGTTAAATTCTCTAGATATGATGTGTAAGAAATAATAAAGCACGTTACGTATTTTGTAAGCATATTTAATGTAAAAGTAAATAAGTACAATGAACGTAATGAACATAAGACACGCTGCACAAATGTAGATGTATATATTCGAACAGTTCACTTGTATGGAGGTTTACAAATATAATGACTGTAAATATATTTTAAAAGGGAACATATTTTTATTATTCAAATATGAGGCACATTCTGTATACTTTATATGGCACAATTTAATATTTTTTTAAGGATTTTTTTTTAATGTTTCTGTAAAGTTAAAAAATGTATAATCACAACCACTAAGGTCAAAAAAACAAATTATGTAAAAAATATTAAATATTGTACCTTTAATAAAAAAACTGTTTTCAAGCATCTGTGCTGTATTTTATATATTTTTGAAGACTGTCATTTTATTATAGGCCAGCAGAGAGCATTATGTTGTAAACATAAAATGGATTTGAGCTGTTTTTCTTGTTCTGCTTAACCATTTGGAGCTTCTCTATTCTTCTTTTTTCCATTAGTGAACAATTATCAAATAAAATTCCAAACAAACATGTTGTTTTAACATCAACCCTTTTTTTTCATTCTTGATTTTGACACTCATTGAGGTTTTATTTATTTATTTATTTTTACCCCACAGACAGAAAAAAATTATCAGATGCTTGTTTGGCATGATGTATTTATAATGGATTTTATTTGTGTTAAAATAACTTAAAGGGATAATTAAAATACCATAAAGCATAAGGTTTGGTGACTACGAGCAAGTAATATCTTACCTGTTACAGATAGCTTTTTGGAGAACCCAGTTTGGTGATAAGCAGTTTTACTCTGTCCAGTATGATGAGCTAATGGCTAGTTCAGGGCTATTCAAGTGATGGTCAGCGGGCCACTTCCGGCCCGCGGGGGACTTTAGTCCGGCCCACCAATGAGTTTTTTATTTTTTATTTTTTTTTTATGGGGGACGTTTTTTCTGGGTTTGGGATTTGTTTACAGTAGTCCCTCGCTACTTTGTGGTTCATTTTTCGCAGACTCGCTCTATTACGTTTTTTCAAAATAAGATTGAACATGACACACAACTGGCTGATTGATGGATGAGCCGCACAATTGGCATGGAATTTTTATTTTAAATATTTTACATTATTTAGCACCTGCTGTACCTTTGTGCAGCCCATACTGCAGGATAAGCTTCCTGCCGCACTTGATCAGCAGTTCTCCGTGCAGAGCGGTGAAGTGGGCGTGGCCAAGAACGCTTGCAGGCGGTTGAGAGCAGTGGAGGCAGGGAGCTGAAGTCATGACCTTCTGTGCTCTGTTAGAGCATTTAGAGGTTAGAAACATTGTTTAGAATATTGCAAGAGTGTTGGAAGGGTTTAAAACGCCTATATATATATATATATATATATATATATATATATAATTAAACTACTACTTACTACTTGTCCTACTTCGTAGTTTTTCACTTATCGCAGGGCTCCAGGGTATGGATCCCCTGTGATAAAGGAGGGACTACTGCAACAAATGCAACAAAATAAACAAATTTAAAAGGTAACAGATTATTGTAATTCTTGGTTTATTTACATAATGACTTTAATTGCTGGATGTCCGAACCCTGAGCTGCTGGCTTTCAGTAACTGTGGCCCCCTAGTTGAATAGCCCTGGGCTAGTCTGGGCAAAGTGAACTGCTGCTGTTTTCAAACAACTCCAGTCTAAAAACAATTTTCAGAACAGTTCAAGTAAACTCTTACTTTCTTGTTAATTTCATGTAACAAGATTATCCAGGAAAAAAATTATATCCCTGTCAGAAATGCTATAGCTAACTGCTGCTGCAGTTTGCACTTGCAATTAAGCATATCCCTCTGAACACCGCAATTGTAATATGATAACGGAGGCAGAAATTGATGTGAAACATTTTACTAACCAAGGACATACAAAGAACCATCTACTACAGGTACGATATTAATTACTCATAACCTTTCCACAGAACCCCCACTTCAGAAGATTTGAAGTTTCTCTTTGCAACGCAAACACAAATGTTGTAGTGTCAGAAAACACTAAATGTTTTACTAGACTCAAACGTGGCACCAAACTTTAAATTACTTCAGCAGCAAAACTAATGAAATCAGTGCAGTCATTTCTGTTTAACAGCTGTGAGACAGTGAGCGCTTTCTATCTCTGTTGTGCTTTTTCATCGTTTATCTTTGTGTGTGTGTCTGTGTGTTTGTTAAACAAACTCTAGTGAGATAATACTCCCTCCCAGTACCAGTATGTCTGGACCCTGAAGCGCTGGTTATTTTTACCACAGCTGGAGGGTGGGGGGCTCAAGTACCAGAGAGTCTGAACTCCCTGCATTTCTGTGCAGACGTCCATCCCACCTCGCCCTTTGTTTCCCAGAGTTGTGTATTCTTTTTCACAGTGGGATCATCCCCTGTGCATCAGCTGAGACCAGAGGATTTCTGTAGTAGAGGATGGCATGCACTAAAGAAGGCTGGAGATAAAAACTAAAAGGTGTTGATAATGTGGAGCTTTAAACCACAGAGGAGACTATGCAGACACAACTGGGCCTGAGGATGGATCAGTCAGAGCACCAGCTAAAGAACGAGGTGATAAAAGCAGCCACAAATGAAGTCCCACATGCACCTGGCTGCAGCCCGACGCACCCACAGGCTGAATGCAGAAAGAAAACTGGACTCAATCTGAACCAAAACACAAGCAGCTATTTTTAACTGCCGGGTTATTTTACACATTTGCTTTTAAAAATTGCAATAAGATACAAGTTTATCAAAAATCCAATACTGCTGCTTTGAGATAAGCTGGAAAAAAGATCAAGTGCATGCTGCTATTTCTAATTTAAACTTTAGGAACTTTTTTTTAATCTTCCTGCTGTTTAATTCTAGAACCAGAGGATTAAAGCTTCAGAGGAACAAAAACATGTTAATTTATCATAGAAATATAACATAAACAGGGCCGAACAGGAAGCCGTCGAGTCTGGCCTAACTTCAGCTATTTGTTTTTATTATAACTTATCTAACATGTTCATTTGTCAAGCTTCTTGTTTTTAAATTTTCCTTGAGTTTTGATAAACAAAAGGACAATGAAACACAATGAAATTTAAATTTATTTTTATTAATTCAAACTACAGTGGACACTGAGGGCTGGATGGCTTTGCTGAAATTTGTTGAAGAAGCTGTTGAAAAAGTTGAGCATTAACCAAAAAATAATTAGGAGCAAAAAAAGAAAAAAAGCTAAAATTTGCAAAAATCAAAACACTAGCTAAAGCCCAATGTACCAAAAATGCTTGCTAAAAGTAGCTACATGCCAGGTAAGAGCCCAAAGTAGCCAAATGGTATCTATAAACTAAAAGTAACAAAACAGCTAAAAGCTAAGAGAAGCAAAAGACTAGCTAAAGGTCCAAATAGCATAATACTAGCTAAAGGCTAAATGTTGCAAAAGGCTAACTAAAAGTAGCAAAATACTAGCTAAAAGTGGTTAAAATTGTAAACACCAAAACTAGTGAAATGCTAGCTAAAAGTAGCAAACCACTTGCTAAACTACAAATTGCTACCCGGTAGCAAAACTAGCCTAAAAGTAAAAAATATGAAATGCTAGCTAAAAGACTAAAAGCAGCAAAAGTCTAGCTAAAAGCTAAAAACTTGTCAACAGTATTTAAAAGATAAAAGTAGTGTAAAACGACAGAATACAGTGCGATTCTTGAACAAGATTAACTGGGTTATTTTTAAAGACTTAAAAAGCTCAGAGTGTATTTATTTGTAGAGATTAGCTACTAACAAAGCTACATTATAAAAAGTCAAACAACAAAAAAATAGTCATTGCAGCCACCCCCGTAGAATGATTTGTTTATGGTCAAGTAAGCATACATGTTTAGATAAAAAAAAATAAATACAGAAACCACTTCACTTTCTTCGGTAATTTGTGACAGGAAGTTGGTTTTGTTTGGCTCGTGCAGATACCTATTACCTACTTGCCTGCCCTGGGTGTCAGAGGACAGAAGGGGGCCGTGCAGCAGCCAGCCCTGCCCCCCTTTAAACACGTCACTGGCTGGGCTGGTTGTTCGGTATCTGTCGGTGTGGTGCGTGCGGTCGGACTGTGGTTGTGTTTCACGTCTGGCCGACTTGATAACGACACACTTGGAGCGCATATCGAGATGGGAGTTCTGCAGACATGGCTCTGAAACAAACTGCCCTAACGCTGCTGGCCCTGCTCGGGTCGGCTGCTGTCGGTGATGGTAAGTTTTAACCCGGAGCACGTCGCTCTTCTCCGGCTTTTGTCTCGGTGCGTTTCCCTGAACTGCCGCCGCTGCTGCTGGGCATCGCCTGTTGTCGCTAATCGCCATGGCGCTCCCGTACCAAGGATTTGGCTAGCTTTACCTGACCTCAAAACCGCGCTCGGTTGCTGTTAGCTCCGACAAAAAAAAAAAAAAAGTCATTCCACTGTTAGTTTGTTTATTATGATTTATATCGAGTGGCAAAATGAGACGAGAGTCTAAATGAGCAGGCAGCGGCTGAACCACAACAACAACATGGTGGAGCTGAGGAGGCGCCAGCTAACTGTCGCTAGCCAAATGTCTCAAGTTGAGTTCTGTTGATAGCTCGACATTATTAACAACTAATCAGATTTATTTCCTGATGTAGATTAGTGAAGGGCTAATTAAAGTTTGCTGTTTGTGTTGCAGTCAATCTCCAAGTTAATATATTTACAAAACAAACTGTTAGCTTGCTTAGTGTCCTGCCTGAGACAATGTCCTAATATCAATTGGCAGGCCGTTGTTACATTTAATAAACCTACACTCCTGTCTGTTATTACATTTATTATTTTACATATAAACACTACAAAGTTTGTGTATGTAATTGGCTTTTTTTTCTTCTACATTCAACATTTGTAATTGCTTTATATTTACTCATCAGTTTTTTTGCCCAGTCATATAAATAATATTTTTGATCTCTCAATGATTGTTCTCCTAATTATCAATATTTATTATAGCTGTTTTAAGCCTTTTATTTTAAATGTTGAACATGTATAGAAAAACCTAATGCTAACAGGAATGTATACCACTAAAATGCAATTTTCTGCTGGTATGGATTCTCTTTCAAATATTCACGATCTTCATTCCAGACAGGAAGAAAGTACTTGTAGATATCTGGTGCTAAAAGCCCAAATACACATGAATGAGAAAAGTGATGCATTTTGTCCTAGGAAGAATGGCGGTAAGAGATGTCTAAGAAGCTGATTGTGAGTTAAAGGAACAGCGCTGTGAATTATTTTCTTGGTACAAGAAAGGATAAGACCATGTCTAAATATTACCGTAAATGTTACATCAGCTTGTCATTTGATAACTTGCTGGGTGAGTAATATGGTCCAAGTTTTAACATGAACGTGTGCATGAGAGAGTCTTCGAATGGAGGACTAACCTACTTTATGCATTCTTGAGAGTAAACACTGGCAGCTTGATCATTGATGCCCATTTGTAAGGAGTAAAAAGGCTGCTTATTGGGCCTCTAGTTGAAAGTGAATGCTAGCATAGTGTGACAACAGCCACACATTGAGCCGTCCCAGACTGGTCAGGGTTGAAGTCTGGGTTCATTGTGATGGAAATGTGGTAAATTGGGGGGCTTTTGAGGCGCTGCTTACAGGTCTGCTTCGGTCAGAATCAACTCCATCTGCTGAAGCAGCTGATATCCAATTCTGATTTACATCCATGGGTCATTATTCAAATTCAAGTTAGACCTGATTTAAATATGAACAAGGATATTTTTAATAATGCTATAAGGGATAAAGCTGTATGCATTTGTTGACCCTTACTGTGTTAGAATGTGGCCACTCGAGATTATCTTTGTAACAAAAATGAAGGACTTAACCATTAAAAAACGCTTGTCTTAATTTTAATCTTTTTAAGGCATATGTTGTATCTTTTATAGTTGAGTCATTCTACTAAGAATCGTATCAATTTTCCTCCCCTGCTTAGTAGGATAAGGTCATAAAAGGCAGGCTAGGGAAATTATTACACCTACTTGGCTTGTTTGCCTAGGCTCCTCCAACTTTAACTGGGGTATGTGAAGGCAAGGGAGCGTGGGTGGGTTTAAGGAACAAACAAAACAAGACAACGCGATGATGAGTTTGTCCAACTGGTAAGGGGCATGCACGGCAAACTTAAGCTGTGGTTTCACACCTTTTTAATAGATTTCATCGTGCAGGAGCTGAAACCAGACTAATCTGAAAGTTGCTGCAGATTTACAGGCCCGTGCAAGCAACTTTTCGTGAGATTACACTTCACTCACAGGTTTGGTAAGTGTGTCACGTGTCGTTGACTTCATACAGATCACTGGTGTTATGGGTATTACATGTCTTCGTGACGCAGTCAGCCTGTGTGAATTAAACACAGTAGCAATGTGATATGTACACGGTCGACCACACCGCTGTGAGGCAGGGCGCGTCGTCTCTCCGTTTCCCTCCTCTCCTTTCTCTATCTCCTATAAAAGAGCCTGTGCTTTGTCAGGTTTTAATCGCTGCTTTATCTGTGGTCCAACTTGTTTTCATTTACCGGCTTGCCTCCAGGGTGTTAAGAGAATTCAAATTCAGAAATACTTTATTAATCCCAAAGGGAAATTAATTATTGTTGTAGCTCGTCATCGTGAACGTCTTAGGCTTGCATTCATCGTGGAGTTGAAATAAGCTTGTTATTTTCTTATTGTACATTTATTTTGTTAATGGGTTCTCTATCTCTTGAACTTTGCACTGACATTTGTCCTTGTCTTGTGCTCTGGTGCATCTGTGTGCATCACATTAGGAGCTAGGTGAAGTTTTCCTTCTGTATTCTTGCACAGGGATGCGACTGTGAAAGGGTAAACTGGCAAACAGGTGTTATTTGATGTCATTTCTGATGTGAAGGAGTTTTTGTGGTGGAAGCTAGTCAGAATGGGGCGTGTGCACACCTGCCCATTGAGGCAGAGCCAAAAGAATGAACAAAGAGCAAATCTTACTAGGTTCAAAGGTGTGTGCTTGTTAGAAGAAGACATTTTAGATAAGGTTTATATGGCCTAGTTTTAGATAGGAAAAAGATATATATATATATATATATATGCATTTCTAAATTTGTATCAACGCACAATATCAGATCTTTTAAGACATGTCACTCGGATGCGTCTTGTAGAACCTGCAGCTGGTTTTTCATTAAATGAAGTTGCAGGAGTTTCTGTGTTTAGGCACGTCCTCTAGCATTCAGTGTTTACCAACAGTCTGTGATGTGGCTCAGAGCCAGTCAGGGTCAGGTCGTGTCTGGGGTGGTCTAGTTTTCACTCAATAATGACCAGTGTTGGTAATGACCTCCACTGGCCCGGAGGCACAGAGCCCTAATTGCCAAAGCAGACAGCATAGCCTCAGACTGACCCGTCCCACCCCCCCCACCTTAACTCCATCTCCCATATTAATATTAAACCACAAGGGATTTCTGCCTACAGAGTGTGTCTACCTCTGTGCTTTTATTGCATTGTTAAAAGTTGTGAAATTATACAGATTGGTGGTAAAATAGCACATGTTTGGACCGTATCTTGAATACACACAAAGGAAATGTGTTACTTTCACTGAACAGCCTGACAGACTTGGTAGGTTAGGAAGTTGTGTGTGTGTGTGTGTGTGTGTTGTCAACAAGGCTAGGCCTGAAACCTGTCCTGCATTACATATCTTTCTGCAGAGGTGTTTAATTTGTTCCCTTTTTTTAGATTAAAGATTAGACATGCATTATTTTCTGCAGGAATGTGTACAATCTATTCAAGTTTTCTCCTAAATTCTTGAACTTGATTTGCTTTGGCTGATATGATCCAAAATATAGTTTCTGCAATTTTGTTTTGGTTTGTTTTGTGGAATACCTGTCTGATCAAATATTTTTCATCTGCAGTAAAGCTGTTGTTTTTGCAGAACCCAAAGATGCAGCATAGCTCTTTGTTTGTTGATAATTTTCAAATATTGGCGAACAGTTTATTCCAATTCGCTCCTGTTTGGTATCAGTCAGACCTCCATTGCACGACTACAACTGGTCCAGAATGCAGCAGCATGATTTTTAACCAGTACAGGCAAAAGAGAGCACATTACACCAGTTCTGGCCTCACTGCACTGATTACTGGTTCACTTTTGAATCCAGTTCAAAATACTCATGTATGTCTACAAATCACTGAACAGTCCCCCCCCCCATCTCTCTGATTTGCTACAACCGTATGTCCCACCACGTTCCCTGAGGTCAGCGGACCAGTTGCTCCTCACAGTTCCAGGAACTTGTCAAGCGCAGAGGTGACAGGGCCTTCTCTGTAGCAGGACCAAGACTTTGGAACGAGTTACCTCTGTTTGTCAGACAGGCCCCCTCCCTCTCGGTTTTCAAGTCCTGTTTAAAAACCCACTACTATTCAGTAGCTTTCAACACCAGATGATCTGTGTTTCGATCCTGTATGCTCCACACTGGTTTGTCGTCATTATCTGCATCGTTTTTATGTCTATATTCTGATTTACCTCATTTTGTATTTTGCTTTGTGTGTTACCTGTTGTTCTGTCTGTACAGCACTTTAGTTGGCCTTGTAGCTGTTTTAAGTGCTCTATAAATAAAGTGGTATGGTATGGTAAAAGATTTTATTTCTAGTGTAGCTGAATGCTGTAAATGTTCTATGCCAACAAAGCACATTAGCTGCAGTTGGTCTTTTTTAGTTTTATATCAAACACATGAAGAAAATCTAAATTTCCCTATTTACATTTTTTTTTCAATCATTATAAAAAAATATGTTTAATGTAGGGGTGCACCGATTGGTTTTCTTTCTGATCACCGATTTCAAAAAAGTCTGACCTGCCGATTCCGATTTTGTTTTATAAGCAACACTGTGAGGTGTTATAAGGTCACAGTGCACCTTCAATTTTCCAATCTTATTTTATTAAAAAACATACCCTTGCACAAGATCCTAGAAACAATATAAACTTGTTTTAACTGGCCATGAGGTAGTGCTCTGAAATATAAATGAGAGAAATCCTTTTATGCAGAACTTCAGTCACATGGCATAGCCTCAGATTCAGGAGAAAAGCAAATACAACAGAGCATGTACTAATTGACACTGTAACATTGACTAATTTGTTCCAGTGGTAACGTCATCTACACATTTAAATGTGTTTAAAACAAGCAGAATGCTGTTGGGGACGTCACATTAAGCCTGCATGGTAAAGCATGGCGGTGTCGTGTTGCATTGTGTTCCCCTGTTGTTCTGTTTGAGGTATAGTTACAGCAACCTATGGTCCATCTGTGCTCATAGATTTATTTTAGTTTTTTGTTGTGAGTTTTGATGGTAATTCTTAACAGAGGCTTTAATTTGTAAACTCCAATATGTTGGGGCGATACAACTTTGATCAGTTTGAGCACCTGCAGAAAGTAAAAAAGGCTTGAGCGCTCACTTGTGTACCTTTGATTTATTCAGGATGACAGACAGACAGACAGACAGGCAGGATGGGACGTAGTCTGCAGAGTGTTGGTTGGTAGAGATAGTAGAGGCAGCCTCAGCCCCGAAGACTTCACTTTAGAATCAGATCAGTAATCTGACCCTGAGATGCAGACAAAGGTAATGACTTTCCTCCTTCCCTTACCATTGATTAGGGCACAGTTGTGGTGTGTGTGTGTGTGTGTGTGTGCGGTTTATGCCTCTGTGTGTGTGTGTTGCACTCACTCTGTCTGGTGGCGTCTGCTTGTCTTGATCAACTCTGTCTGGTATCCGTTTGGATCTAATTTCAGCCAGTGCATTTTGGTAATGGTTCTCCTCTCTATACACAAGCACATACTTACTGTATCAAACTCAACCCCCTCCCCCCCCCCCAAAAAAAAAAAAATCTGTGTGTACCCTATTGCCGTATTCCTAGAACGTTTTGAGTATATTCACCAGACGTTCCTGATGCCAGGTTTGTTCTGCGTGGGTAGGCCTGAACAACAAGTCGAGGTCGAAGCTGTTTTGGGTTGGTACCGTGCTGGTTCTTGACTCTAAGCAAAAGGCGACGATTGTTTACGGCAGCAATATTTTATTAATCTCTTCCTCACAGTGTCTACCATTTCCTGTCCCAACATGAACGGAATGATAGGAACTCGACTCATTAGCAGCTCAAAGGAACAGCTTTCGTTCTCTGATCCCCTTGTTTTCCTCCATCGGCCCCTTTTTTTCCTGCTCCCTCCTGTAAGTCAAAGTCTAGACTGGGTTTTAATGACAGTCACAGCTGGTCACTTGGGCAGACCTCAATAGTGGTCAAGGGGGAAGGTCCCCCTCCCCGGTTCCCTCCTCTTATGTATTATCCTGTTGAAATGGGTACTAGCTCCCATTCAGTCTGGCCCCCAAACATTGGGGTTGTTACTGGTAACCCCCATCTGTGTATCCCCTGCGCACCCATCCCCCCGCCACAGAAGTGCAATCCTCTGTGCTTTTTGTTTCTGTAGTGCTGGCCCAATCCCTCCTCGTGTCGCCGTAATCTCCACACAAAGGAGCAGTGTAAAGACCAGTTCAGTGGATACAAGAGCAGAGTTCACTCACACATCAACTCAAAGCTCCGTTACTATTCTTCTAATACTCTCTGGCTAAATCCAGAAAGTTATGCAGAGCGTTGTGAAAACAAGTTGACTTCTTGATAAATACATGGAGTCTTCAAGCTTAACGTTTGTGGTAATGCACTAGTTGTTAATGATAAAAACCATAATGACTCCGTCTATAATTCAGCTGTGAGCAGTAATGTAGCAGATCAGTGACCTCAGTTTTTAGGGATTTTTCTTTAAAGACGAATGACGTAAAGGTCATTACTAAATTAGTCGGGAACCAAAAACTATCATCTTACAAGTTAAAAAAATTTCCACAACAGCCGTTTCTTGCGTTTTAGTAGACTATACATTCCTCTTGGTCACAAATAACTCTCGCGAATTGCTTTTCTCCACAAACCAAAATCCTGGTAGACCACAAACCATTTATGGCTGCCTGGAGATGTAAATGTGTAGTTTTGAGCCGTGTTCGGTTTGCTTTCCGAGCTTCTGTCTTCATGTCTGTGGACCATCTGTCTTGCCTTACTGTCTCCATGATGGATGTGCAGGCCTGTTGGTTTCAGACTGTGCTGTTCTTCTCTGATCACTGCAGATAATTTATTACCGTACAGTGAAGCAAATATGTTTGTCACTAGAACTCTATCACAGGCGGGTTCACAGTCGTTGGCTTTAATACGTCTTTTAGGAAAAGCAACTTCTTTTAAAGCTGTTCCTTATATCTTGCTTTTTGGTTTATTTGATCAAAATCCATCTAGTTTGAATTTACTCGTAGTGTATCCTTTCCACAAAATACCAAATATACAAACAATGATGGCAAAAAGCAGAACAAGTACCCTTATCCAGCTGAACTAAAGTCGCTCCATTATTGTTGTGTATGAGCTTGATGTGGCACAGCCAGCTGGTTTTAGTCTTTATCAGCCTGATTCACCTCTGCAATCTGCAGGAAATTCCATCTGCATGCAAACTTCAGCGAACTTGGACACATGTAGCTAGAGTTCCTGCCACTTTCCCATTCCTCTGAGAAGCATGCACACACTCATGCTCACACATACACACACCCTCCCAAACAATAACAAAACACAAGAAATATTACAGTAAACCCTGTTTGAATGTTTCACGTTTCCAGTCACTATCAGTGAACAAGCGTGGACATGACCGCACACACACACACACACACACACACACACACACACACACACACACAC